GCGTAATGTCTAACCCTTCAACACGTCCTTCCATGTGTGTGATAGAGCTCTTAGAGATACCTCCACGTTTCGAGCTGTTCAATCGTGTGGCTCTTTCTTCTAAGAAGTCAACCCCAAACATCATTTCTTTGATTGGCAACCCATCCCGGGGAGGGTCGATTGCATCGATTCCATCAACGATCTTCTCATGAGGTTATGGTGCATGATCTATTTTGGATATCATTCACCTTCTAACGCCACCATAGTTTTGCATCGTCCACGAGATGCATTGTGGCCAACGTAACTCTCAGGTCTTTTGAGATGCATTATGAGCAAGTTCCTTTCCCTTGAGTTCTCACATCCACGTTCTTGCTCTAATCTATCTTTCTTGGTCTTCTTTTCCTTCTGTTGTCAACAACTTTTGGATTAGGGTTTTCTTGTTTTTCTCTAATTTCACAGCACTGCAACAGAGGCTACTGCTATTTAATTCGAAAATATGCTTTCTAAAGTATGGCTCCTCCCCTTTTTATCCCTTTCCTTTTAAATGTTTGTTTCTTCTCATTTATGGATGAGAAAGTATAAAATCGTCCACCTAGAATGTGTCTAATTTGGTAGTCAATGACCCACGTGCATTGATGATGTGGATTAAAATTTCCATGACATCTCCGAAAAGTTTGCTTTCCGAATTGCTTCAGCATCAGGGTCAGTAATTTATTTCCAGATTGCAAGTAGATTTGCTACAACATCATAGTTCAACATACCTGTTCTGAAATTTTACCAAATAACTCAATTAAATGTACAATTAAGCTCGATTTATGCAAACTGATCTTCTTTTCATATTAAACCACAATTGACTGTTTCATGTATACTAATTAGAATAAATTGAGCAATTAATTTAAAAATGGTAGTAAAAATGCAAAATTAACTGCAAAAAGACTCGATATAACTCTACTTTTGGAGAGTTATCAAACATCATTTCTCATCGAAGGTAAACTTAACTTTTGAAAATTTTAATTATTGCAGTAGCATGCTACACATGCTAAACCATCTATTACGTGCAAGGAAAGAATTTATTTAAGTATTTCGTTCGAGATCTAGAGGAAAACAACACATTTAAAAGAGAACATAACATAATATCGGTTTGGTTTTATGCCCTAAGGTGTCGTAATTAGTTATTTAATTTTTAATAATAGTTTTGATTATTTTATTTATAATTTAATATTATTTATTGTATAAAAATCCAAAGTTCTTAGTGTAATCCGTTGAATGCTTTATTTGGGTAACATGATTGATACGACCCGCTTTGTAATTGTTACAAATTATTTGATCAAAATCATTCATGTGAATATATTGAGTCTGGGTATCCTATGTAATGAATTTGTATAAAATTGAACCACAAAATATTTAAATCTCTTAATTGAGAAAATTAATATTTCATAGGATGATCATATACGACTTGATCTTAATCTTAAGTGAGTTATGAATTTCTGCATAGGTGAGAATGACTCTGGTAGCCAATTCAATATACTTACCATTTTCGGGATTTGACCAAATAGGGAGCTAGGAACATAATGACAGATGAAATTTTCTCCTTTCCAGATGGGATAAGTAGATGAGTAGTTCCTTACGTGTTGATTTTGGTACTTAAACAATGGGGTCCACTCTCTCGTTGGCCCGAGAGAGACTTGGTTTATGGTTGAATCAAGATGTAATTACATGGACTTTTGACTCAGTTGTAATTACGAACAACTCCGGAATGATCCATTTGCCGGTAATAAATATGTATAACAATTCAACTATATAGGTCTATAATGGAGTGAAAATATTAATTATTTAATTCTTTTTTTTTAACGATCGGAGCTTATAATCTATTGGTCCAAAAAAAATTTATATATTAAATAGGAAACGAGAAAAATATATTTAATTTAAGTATTTAAATTATTATTTAATATATTATATATATTAAATATAAAGAGAAAAATATATTTATTTTGAAGTATTCAGATTAATATTTAATATATTAATCGAAAAGTACAAAACTATATTTATTATATTTTATATTAATCGAAAGAAGACCGACGAAAACTAAACATGATCAAACCACCATGGCTCCACGAAAGACGTAGTCATCCGCTATTTTCCCTTGTCCTTACTTGAATATAAAACATTCTTGGACATCATAACCTTCCTTTATTAGCCATATAGCCATAATGTGACCATATCATCACTGACCACGAGGTCATATCATCACTATTCCTCGTAGCCAGATTGGCAAGTTTACAAATCATAACGGCAATCATATCGTCATTAAGACGACGGGAGGTCATATAGCCACTCTCCCTCATGGCCACATTGCAAAATTTTCTAAATTTCATTTTTCGGGAACGTACATATGCATGAGGTCTATAGCTAGCATATCTAACGTTATAGTTGACTTCAGATTACCATATCACGGCATGATTCACATACATCATCAACATCACAATTCTACTGGAGATCTTATGGTCATAACACATATCATGCACATTACAATCATGCATTTCGGTTTAAACCTTGATTTGAAGCTATCTGAGTTTCTCGTGTACTTCTAAGTGCCATTAATCGACAAAAATAATTGAAATCTATTGTAGCTACTTAACTTGGAGAGAATAATGACATAAATCGAGGTCGATTGGGTCGGGATAGAGGTAAAAAGGGTTGAATCGGCCAAAGGGGAGAAAAACTTGTCAAAAGGGCAGTATAATTAAACAGAGGACAACGAACCGAGTTGGAGGGCAATAATCGAGTCGAATTACTTAGATCGAGTTAGGTAGTAATGAATTATGTTTGCAGTTGTAGGATACATGCACCAGTTTCGAAACCACTCATATGTTCGGGGTGTATATATATATATGTATGTATAGTTCTATATGCCCTACTTTTGTACGCATATAACCTAAATTAGAATAAATCATATTAAACCAGATTGAACCGATTGAGTCCATGCGAATCAGATGTGAATTGGTCCAAATATATTGAACCACTTGGAAATGCGTTGAACTGGCTTAATTCCTCGAGCATTCTCTCATTCTTCACGTGTGAGATTTGGTGAAAACTTAGCTTCCTTATTGTGGCGTTCGTGTTTGGCGGTGTTACGATGGATCTAGCTACCATGTCAACAACCATGTGTGGGAGATCATCGATCAAGGATCTAAGGTAGAGATGCACATTCAATGAAACGATGGTTTGGCACTTCATGCAACAAAGAGAGAGACATGCAAAATCCAGAACAAAAAGTCTTAGGGAAGCAGAAAAAGAGTCGGAAAAAAGAGAGAGAATTGGCTAACCCAATAATATGACCTGCCCTCGAGTTCTATGAAGCTAGGTCACCCATATAATATGACCTGCCCTCGTGTTCTATGAAGCTAGGTCACCCATATAATATGACCTGCCCTCGAGTTCTATGAAGCTAGGTCACCCATATAATATGACATGGTAACCCTAGCCATTTGAATTTAAGAACCCTGTAAATGCTTTGGATATGGAAACCCGACCCTCGAATCAATTTAATTAATTTCATTCCTAATGATTTAAACTCTTGGAAATTTGATCTAACAATATTATTGAAGAATAAGCGGTTTAGATATAAGATTAGGATTACCTTGTTGATTGAGTATCTCAGTCAAGAACACTTGTTTGAGATTCGAATTATTCCACAACGAAGATCGGTCATGTCAAGCTTGAATGATTCTAACCGTGCAGCCTAAACTACATAAAATTGCAAAGAAACTTAGCTTTTAGCTAAAAGAAAACATAAACGTATTTTTACTGCATTTTCCAAGTCTATTTTACAAAGACAACATATATACATGAAATTATTATATAGTCTCAAAATGAAACTTTTGACCGTGAAGTATTTTAAGAGTGGTAACATTCATACTTTATAACCATAATTAGTTACTACGTGGGTGTAACCATAAAGTAAACAAAAGCACTTAAAATACATTAATGAAACATCTATGTAACAAACCTGGTCAGCCTCATGATTTTTAAAATGAGTTTGTTAGGGAGATGTTTCCACACTCTTCTAAGGAATGTTTCGTGTTCACCTCTCCAACCGAATCCACCCCTTTTAGGGGCCAACTTCCTTGTTGGAACACCGTCCAGTAACTGATTTTGATATCATTTATAATAGCTCAAACCCATCGTTAGCCGACATTGTCCACTTTAGCCTGTTATGTATTGTCGTAAGCCTCATAGTTATTAAAACGTGTCTGTTAGGGAGAGATTTCCACACCCTTATATAAGGAATCCTTCATTCTCCTCTCCAATTGATGTGGCATCGTAACTCTAGATTATCATCTACAAAAAATTTATAATCATTCAAGAATAAATTAAGCTTGATTGTTCTATAATGTGGCATGAATTGTAACTTAGTTTATCGAGTAGTAATTTGTGTTGGATGATGAAAGTCCCACGTCAGCTAATTTAGGGATATTCATGAGTTTATAATCAAAGAATACTCTCTCCATTGGTACAAGACATTTTGGGGAAGCCCAAAGCAAAGCCACGAGAGCTTATGCTCAAAGTGGACAATATCATACAATTGTGGATAGTCGTGTTCATCTAACATGGTATCAAAGTCATGCCCTAAAACTTAGTCGTGCCAATAGATTGGTAAATCCTCAAATGTCGAACAAAGGACTCCAAAAGAAAAAGGAGTCGAGTCTCGATTAAGGGGAGACATACTTTGTTCGAGGGGAGGTGTTGAATGATGAAAGTCTGGAACAATATCATACTATTCGGAGAGTTGTGTTGGTCTGGACAGTCCTCTTCACGTTTAATTAATATAAAATTGGTTAATAAGTATGGCAGTGTCACATTTTAGACACATTTTAAAATATATAAATTTTGAGAGAAAAAATTGTAATTTAACAAAAAAAAAATATAAGGTGAGAAAAAGAAAAAATGGATGATTGGTTGATTAGAGATATAACAGCCTCATTTCTTTTCGGTTAATTGTAATTGTAATTGTAATTTCATTTCGCCTCTCTTCGTTGCTCTCTCTCTTTATCTCTCTAGCGGGCAATGTAAACGTAGCAGCAGCCAATCTCATTGTCATCAACCAGAAACCCCTACATCGGTTTTCTCTCTTTTTCAATTTCTTTTTCATGCCCCATCGATTCCGTTTATGTTATGCTATTCAAATCTAGTCCAATCGAATCCAATTCGATATAATCCATCTTTTCGTAGTCTTGATCAGATTTGCTTCGGGACGGAGTTATTTCAATCCGCCCACGATCTGTTATATTGTTCTAATTACCTATTGCGATTGTAATTCCTAGCTACTATTCGTTTTGGCTCGCTTTTTGGCTCTCGATCAGATTGGGTTCATTTCAGGTTGTGAGGCAATGGAAGAATTGAGAAATGTAACTATAAGGGCTTGAAAGATGCCTGGGTTAACACAAAAGAATTACCATTTAAATTGTGGGTCATCGGCTATATACTCGCTCTCGGCCAATGGATTTTGGTCCCAGCATCGCGACGATGTTAGCTACAATCAGCTCCAGAAGGTATTCATTTCTCTCGTTGCCAGACGATTTAATTGGAGTTTTTATTGCTTCATTTGTTCCTTTATTTTTCGGAATAATTGCTACTGGATTAGATCACTTTCCTGCGCTGGATTTTTGTCACATTCCTGCTCTATATATATTTTTTTCCCTGAATTAGTACTTCATAAAAGCCTGGATTCATTAGTGCCGCCGATGTCATCTACCGGATGAGTGTCTAGCATTTTAGATGTGTGTGTTTGACACTGTAGGCGTTTCTTTTCTTTACTCAAAATTGAGTTACTGAAACTTCATGTTTCCTCTGCATGTTGCTCTTTATGAACAGAAAATATTCTTTGTACGCAACTGAAGTATCACATTGTTTAATTATGCCTTAAATCGTTAATTGGGATAAGTATGATCTAACTCCAGCATTACTTGGAACTGATGTGGTGAACTGACCATCGACTAATAAGTTGTGTTTACTCTCAATGTAGTTTTGGATTGAGCTGCTGCCCCAAGCCAGGCAAAAACTCCTGAGAATTGACAAGCAAACCCTCTTTGAGCAAGCTCGTAAGAATATGTATTGCTCTAGATGTAATGGTTTGCTGCTTGAGGGATTTTTGCAGATTGTCTTATATGGGAAGTCTTTACAACAAGGAAAAACACGTGTGAATCATGCATGCAACAGATTAGGGGTTTCAAAAAATCAAGCAGGTGATGGAGCGTTGACGGTTAATGGGTTTGAAGATGAAATTCAAGATCCATCCGTCCATCCTTGGGGTGGTTTGACTACAACACGTGATGGGTTGCTGACACTTTTGGATTGCTATTTGTGTTCAAAGTCTTTCCTGGATCTCCAAAATGTAAGTGCTTACTTTTAGTTTTCTTTGCTACTAAGCACTCCAAATCAGCGCATCCTTGTAATCACTAAGGTTTTCCTTGAAGCAGGTCTTTGATAGTGCACGTGCTAGGGAGCGAGAACGAGAATTGCTTTATCCAGATGCCTGTGGTGGGGGAGGTCGTGGTTGGATTAGTCAAGGAACAGCAAGTTATGGCAGGGGACATGGAACAAGGGAAACATGTGCCTTGCACACTGCTCGGCTTTCTTGTGATACATTGATTGATTTTTGGTCAGCATTAGGAGAAGAGACTCGACTATCTCTTCTAAGGATGAAAGAAGAAGATTTTATTGAGAGGCTAATGTACAGGTGTCTAGCTAATGCTCATCCTTTGTTTCATGCATTTATTTAAATTAATGGATGGAAAATGTGATAGTCGATGCTCGATGGGGACTTTAGTATATAATATAATCTTTAGGGATACAAAGTATGATAGACACATTTGGAGTAAAACTAACATGAATAAATAGAAGCTTGACTTCTTAATAAGAAATAAACCTGTTTATTTATTTATTTTTAATTTACCTTTTTAATGCATCTTGAAGATTTAAGCTAGTCTAGAATACTTCCTTTGTATGTTTATATTTTCATTTTTCTCCCTGAAAGCGTGATTTCTATAAAAAAGAAAGTGTAGAATTACTGCTGTCTTGATTTATTGTATATATATAATTTTAGTTATGGAATCTATAACTTAAGTAGATTGTAGTTTACAAGCCAAGAAAATTCTTGTATAATTAGTCTTCCGATGATTGTATATACGTAAGATGGTATGCTCCTTTTAGGTGTAAAAATTTGGGCGACTTACAAACATATTGAAATGACAATGTACAAATAGGGGGCAGCTTCTAATCCTTGGGATGAGTAGATAATAAATGTATTGGAAGCATTGGAAGGTGCCTTTTCTCTTTCAATTATTGTAGAGTCGACTTGTGGGAAGTATTATGAAATATTTATGGAGATCTCATACTATTTGGCCTAAAACTGAGATGAGTAGATAATAGATGTTTTTGAGGCATTGGAGGTGTTTTTTCTCTTTGAATTATTGTGGCATTGACTTTTAAGAACTATTATGAAGTATTAATGTGGAGCTCATACTTTTGGCCTAAAATTAAAGAGGATTTTAGGGATGAAATTGCAGGAGTTTCTGGTTTTTGTTGGCAGACATAGTGTGTTTGGAAAGGATTTTGGTGGTTTGTTTCTAGATGAGCTGAATACTCTATGGCACAAGGTCATAGTGAGCAAGTATGTCCCTCACCTTTTCAAATGCATTGTGGCTATGGTCTTGAAAGGCGCATTTAGAAACTCTTGGAAGTACATTGCTTTTAGTTGTTCCTTATTCTCTAATTTCATTCATGGCTCTATTCGAGATGATTCAAACTCTTATTTCTAGGAAGATTGATGGTAGCGTGATACTTCTATTCATAACTTGTTTTCTCATTTGTACTAGCTTTCCTCTTTGAGGTTTAGTCCTATGTCTCTGGTCATTTCTTATCCAAGTAATTGGCATTTGCTTAACTTTGGCGTCTAACATCCCTTGTTGGACAGGGAAACCTTGGATGTGCCTCTCTCCTTACTCTATTAGGAGAGGTCCATCTTCGTCTAATCCCTCTAAAGGGTTTTCTTGTCATTCTTTTCTCCTTCTTTTGGGTGCAGAAAGTTTTCTTACAAACTCTTTGTTTTCCTCGTGGAAGATAAAATATTTCCAAGAAGGTTAAGTTCCTTGCATGACAAGTTTTATTTGGGAAAATCCACACCATAGATCGCATTCAAAGACACTTTTCTTTTTTACTTAAGCGCAGTGGGGTACTTCTTGTAGGGAAGCGGTTGAAGATCTAATCGTATCCTTTGGTGACGCAAGTTTGCTCATTTGGATGCGTTTTTGGAGATGTTTGGTGTGAGTGTGTCGTGTATCTATTGTTATTGTTTCATGATGGAAGAGGTTTTATTCCATCCCCATCTCAAGATAAGGGCTTAACATTGTGGCAACCCTTTTTTTAAAAAAAATTTAATTTATGGACCATTCAGTTAGAGAGGGATGATAGAGTGTTTAGAGGGTCTGAGATATCATGAAAAGAGGTGTGGATTATTTCCAAGTTTAATACCTCTCTTCGGGTGTCTGCTCAAGAGACTTTTGTTACTTCCATCTCAGTCTTATTACTTTGGACTCGAGTTATTTATTTATATATTATTATTATTATTGTGGTTATTATTATTATTTTTAATATTGTTATGTTTTTAGGTGTTTTAGGTGCTGTCTTGGCTACATTTTTTGGGTGTTGTTTTTGTATGCCCTTTTTGTAGCCTTTCATTTATTCTCAATGAAAGATCAATTCTATAAAGAACGAAACTTATTCTACACTTTCATTGTCATTAATGTTTTTTAAAAGCCTTGGTAGAGGTAGTAATTGGCTGAATTATCGTCTTGTATTCTATTGATATGAAAGACGTAAGTGATATTTGGTTCCTTGTTAGATTTCATGCTTTTCTTTGGATTTCAATTTTGAAGATCTTTTGTAACTATTTGATAGGAACTAGCCATTTTCTCTGATAGAGTTTTCTTTTTGAGGGCTTGATTTTTTGTATACCTATGTATTCTTCCATTTATTCTCAATGGAAGTTGTTTGCATAAAACAAACACGTAACTGTACTTTAATATTTTTGAAGAATGTAACAGACTAATATTATTTTTCTAGTCATTTTAGCCTTTACACCTGTTCGGTGCATCACATGGGGCCATAAATATTTTCTTTAAGAGATGTAAGCCTTTTTTGATCCAAAGAGGCCTGAGACTTTAGCCTAAAAATTTGAGCCTGATCTTGAAGTGTGCCTCAAGGTGTAAGCCTCAGAAGTGTTTTGAAAAATTGGTTCTACTTGTTAGGTTTTTGCATATTCTGCTGACACTTATTTGCACAAATTCCAATAGTATTTAAGATTCTTATAGTTAATGAGGAATATAGGAAACTAGCCTTGTTTATTTTAATATGGCGAGCAATCATTGGTGTATTTATCCTTTTTTATGACAAAGAAATGGAACTTGATGAAATGAAAAGAGAATAATGCTCAAAAGTTGCAAACTCCACAAGGGAGTGAATAATAAAAAGATAAAAAGATTACAATGGAAAAATACAGTCATGCCAAATGAGACATGAATCTTGGATAGAGTGTCCAGAAAAGAGGTTGGTGAGTGCACACCAAGAAGAGACCCTCAAATGAGGCTAAACAAACCAAGCTGACCAATGCTTTAAATGTTTCTTAACCACCAGCAACTCTTCGTGCAAAAGGCCTAATAAATGATTAACCAGTTTTCTCTCCTGCATTTTCTTGCCTTGTAATTATTATTATTATTATTAATTTCTTCTTACAGTATGTTGATTGTCTCACAGGTTTGACAGCAAGAGGTTTTGTAGAGATTGCAGAAGAAATGTGATCCGTGAGTTCAAGGAACTAAAGGAGCTGAAGCGCATAAGAAGAGAGCCTTGCTGCACTAGTTGGTTTTGTGTTGCAGATATGGCATTTAATTACGAGGTGCATCCTTGCACTTCTCTTCAATTTTAAGTGCTCTTATACGATCATGGTTATAATGTAAATTTCATAATTAATATGATTAATAATTATAACGACTATGTAGATTCTTAAGATTTCTCTAGATTGTGAGCTTTTTGCAATCAGCATGAAAGAATTTATAATGCTATTGTCTCAGGTATCAGATGACACAATCCAGGCCGATTGGCATCAAACTTTTGCTGACTCTGTGGAGACATATCATTATTTTGAATGGGCTGTTGGAACAGGAGAAGGAAAATCTGATATTCTGGAGTTTGAAAATGTTGGCATGAATGGAAGTGTCAAAATGAATGGCCTAGATCTTGGTGGTTTGAATTCATGCTTTATAACCCTCAGAGCTTGGAAATTGGATGGACGCTGCACTGAGCTCTCGGTGAAAGCTCATGCGTTGAAAGGTCAACAATGTGTTCATCGCAGGCTTACAGTTGGTGATGGATTTGTTACAATCACAAGAGGGGAAAGTATTAGGAGGTTTTTTGAGCATGCTGAAGAGGCCGAGGAGGAGGAGGTTGTTCTCTTTCTTTTAATTTTGTCTCTCTAGGTTTTTTCCTATCATAAACTTTTGTACGTCAGTCATATTTCAATAATGAATGGGTTTTTTTTTTGTTTCTGCCATGAAAAAAATATCTGCAGCGTTATATTACTTGAATGGGTGACAAATGTTTTCATCTTCTAAATCTTGATAACTCTAATTGCTTCTCTGAATTATGTGCTTTTAGGAGGATGATTCTATGGATAAAGATGCAAATGGTTTGGATGGAGATTGTTCTCGTCCTCAAAAGCATGCAAAGAGTCCTGAACTTGCTCGGGAGTTTCTTTTGGATGCTGCAACTGTCATTTTTAAAGAACAGGCATGTTATCTGCAACCTTTTTGGCTTGTGCTTTCTTGCTAGTTGGCCTGTGTGATACTATTCTTTCTTGAAGACAAACACATGTTAAAATCTCTTGTTTTAAGAAATTTTATTAAGCACCAGGGATATAATTACCAGTTAGGCTCATTGGGACAAGGAAAAACCAATTAAAAGTTAAAATTACTATATCTATGGAATCTAGTGAAAGTGTTGGGCTTTATTTTCACATGCGATTCTTGGTTCATATATGTCTATATTTTTCTTTCTTTTGTTTTTTCCTTCCAATTTTTTAGTTATTATTTAATAAGATGTAGAAAAGAGGTCTAATATCTAACCAAGGTGGCTACAACTTCCTCCTGTAATTTCTCCCAAGACTTCAAGAAATTAGTGATGACTATGTCAGTCCAAATAGTTCCGGTTTTACCCATTTAGGCTAGGTGTGGATGCTAGAAATGAGACAATATAAGATGAGGGAAAATTGGAAAGAATTAGGGAGAAGAAAAATAGGAGGAGAAATTCTCAAAATATTAAACTAATTTGAATGTTGGTCTAATTACTGCAGTTTACTTATAGGTCAGTCTGTTTGTTGGGAATCTGAATCCAGATGCTTGAGAATCTATACTTTCAGTGTTGTTAGGTAGCCTTTTTTTTTTTTTTTTTTTTTTTTTTTTTTGAGAAGAAATATTCAAGATCCCAAAATTGAATGATAAAAAGGAGCTCCACTTGGCCAGAAGCGTAGTATCACTATAATAAGAAAAAGAAGAGAGAACGTTCACACCAAGATATAGCCCTTAGGAGATTATCTATTAAGGAATAAAAAGAAGCTTCAGTCCCTTAAAAAAGTTTACTATTTCTTTCTAGCCTCAGGTTTGAAAAGAAGTCTTTCACCTGGCACAGCCAAAGGGTTTATTGCTCGTTCTGGCAGGGGTGCCATAGTAGGACACCTGATAAGAGGTTATAGATGGATGTAGGCAAGGCCGTGGCCAATTTGAAATTGATGTGCATAAAGGTCCAGAAGCTATGGACAGTGGAATAGTGGATGAATACGTGGGCTTGAGACTCATAATCTGGCAAATATGGTACCAGCTGGGGGAGAGAGAGAGAGAGAATAGTAAGGAGCCTTCCTTTCAATCAAATTACGAGTGTTATCTCCCCGTTAGTTAGCTAGCATTGGAAAAATTTGACCTTTTTTTGACAGAAGCTTTCCCAGATTGTCAATTAGAGGGGAGATGAACCTTTATCTAGCAAAGAAGCATATAAGGAATGCACTGTGAAGCTATTGTCCAAAGCCCATTCCATCTATCTTTTCTGTTTTGAGGATGAAAGGCCATCAATCTCTTCATCTTTCAGATTTCTGATGAGGATGAGATTTCGAGAGTTAGGAATCCACAACTCTTTTTACGCATTTGAATGTCTTGAAATATTTGGTTTGTTTTATTTGATTTGTAAGATTTATACATGGATATGTGCTGTAGTTACTGAAATATCTTGCACATAATACAACTGAATGGGCTAACCACCATGGACCCTCTAGCCAATATCCGACCTAAGGTGTGAACTCTTCCATGTAAAACGTACCAAACAAAGAACTTGACTTTCTTGAAATAATTGACCTTCCACCTAGAAAAAAATGAAAATGCTTGACAAGAAAGGGGGACGGACCAAACACAAAAAGAGAGAATTACAGAAGAGAGCCTTTGGACAGTTTGAGACTTCAAAAGCGAACATCCCTCTTATCAGGATTAGAAGTCCCCCAACAAAAAAAATGTTCGACATTTCCCTGCAAAAACCTAGAGAAGGAGAAGGCAGGTTCTTAGAATGAGAAATAATTGAACCAGCCAAATGATACTTACAGCTTATATAACCAGTGATGTAAGATGCAGATGGGTCCAACAACCAACCAATCAAATGTATCTTTCCCATCATTCACCACATTATGAACAAAATCGGAAAAGAAATTAAGTTTAGCTGAAAAATCTTTCCACGGGTTTCTGGTATGCTTTTAGCCCCACTAACTGTCTATTCAAAAGGACGAGGACCGTGCTTGCTAACAATAACCATGTGCCATAGGATGTCAGAATCATGATGGAATCGTCGAAACCATTTAGCCCAAAGGGCTTTATTCCTTGCCCTTAGATTTCTCAAGCCTAAGCCACCTAGGTCCAGTGGCGTCTTTACACCTCACAAGATGAGATCATTTTCCCTCCTCAACACTCTAAGAGGAAATCCCTCATCAATTTCTCAATGGTCTCACTAATCACACTAGGGATTTTAACCAGGGGCAATAGATGAATAGGAATGTCACTCAGGACCGATTGTATAAGGGTAAGGCCTCCACCCTTCGTAAAAAAGCTCTTTCTCTAGGATGAAAGCCTATTCGAACCTTACCAATGCCTAGGTCTAGAGTGTAAAGCTCCTAGGATCATGCCCCAAAGGACTCTGACACTTGTTAGGCATGTGTCAAATGGTCGTTTAGTATAATAAATAAATACATTGTAATATAAGAAAAATAATGATGTTAGAATAAAACAAGTCAAGTAAGGTAGTGAAGCTTGATTTAAAAGTTACTTTGGTTGGAATTTGTTTGCAATATGTTTTCTCTTGAACTTACCGAAGAAGTTTGATGTCTCTTCACATGAACATGTTCCTCTTTGTCCAAGATCTCACCATATCATTTAAATCCCCCTCTCGCGACCAACACATCCTATTACAAGCCAATTAAACTCCAAAATCCTTGTCCCAAATTGTACATTAAAAGAGATATCCTAGTTAAAACATGCTTTTAGAGTCTTCGACATATTTTAACTAGTTAAACCATCACTTGTTACTTCAAAAAACATGAGACATCAACAATTAGGTAAAAATATTTGGAACATTGACTTATTCGAATAAAAAAAATTAATATAATATATATATATATATATAGAGAGAGAGAGAGAGAGAGAGAGAGAGAGAGAGAGACCAGTGAAACTTTTTGAAATTTAGGAACTAAATAGACAACCATCAAAGTTGGACTTTTACTTTAACATTTTTCTTTATATGACATTTAAAAACGTGAAAGAAAGATAATTGGAGTGAATAGTGAATAAGAAAGAAAAATTAGGAACATCATTGTCATAACAAGATTCCTTTCAAGAGAGTATTAGAAACTGAAGTGAATAAAAATTCCTTGGATGCTGCTCCAGTGGAAAATCTAACCATATTATTTGGAGATCCTGTTTGTCCTTTCAATTTAGGCCCTTCTTTGTGGGGTTTTGGAGTTTGTTTGGCATGGAGCAAGGATTGTAGGGCTGTGATGGAGGAGGTTTTGCCTTTTCATCCTTTTAGGGAGTGAGTAATTTTCTATGGCAGGCTTGCTTCTTTGCAGTTGTCTTATGGGATTTGGCTCGAGAGAAATAATAAAAGCTTTAGAGGGAATCAGAGTTTTGTATAGGAGGTGTGGGAGGTCATTAGGTTTAATACCTTGTTTGGGCCTTGGTGGCAAGATCTTTTGTAACTATTGATTAGGAAAAAGGTTTTATTCCCTAGGATTGGGGCCCTTTATTATAGTTCTTTGGATTCCTCTTGTTGGTTTTATTTTTATTTTTATGCTCGGTACATTTGTTCGTTTGTTGATATCTCTGTTTGGCATCTCATCAAGAAACAATAAAAAAATCCTGCATCAATTGATATTGATACTACAATTAGCAATGCCCATCTTCTGAAAATATATAAGCTAGCTTTAAACGATTGAGCAGAGTGTTATTAGGTTAGTCCACAAGCAAAACAGAGAGCAATTGCATCATTACAAATTATCCCTTTATTCGTCTACAAGAATTAGGAAATGAGTAATTGCCATGGGGACAAATCAGTTGCTCTCTATTTTAAAGTAAGGTCATGGAGATAAATTTTTAAAGAATCTTTAATCTCAAAACCATCCTGGATAGGATTTATGGCTTCCTCGAGGGAATCTAGATCCTCAATGTCATTGAGGAACTTTTGTTTGTATCGATGAAAATTCCAAATGATTTCTATTGTAAGATTTTATTTTGTGATCGAGAGTCTTGCCTATTACCTTACCATAAGCTACAAATGAGAGGAAATTGAAGAAAATATGCTTGTATTACCGATTATCCATCCATTGGCTTCACCATATGGTCATCATACAACCGAGCACACTTTTCTATTATTTTAATATATATTCTTCTTGGAATATTACAAATTCATTTATCAAAATGAATATTTTTTGGTTCATCCATTGCATTGTTTGGCTACCTTTTGGAGGAAGAAAGCTGATTCAAGTATCTATGGGTTTCTTAATAAATGCTTGGTATTTTGTTTAGGAAATGCTAAAAGACTTACTCAAGAATTATGATGGCAACTTTCATGTTTTAAAGGATTTAGCTAAAATTTCTTTGGAGAAAAATTCTTCTTTCAGTTGTAATGTGTGGGAAGAGGCAAAGAACTTGAATTGAAAGCAGGGGATTGGATTTCAAGTGAATGAGATCTCAAAAGATTATTTTAAGTATTGTTGAAGAGTTGCCTTTTCTTATTCTCAATTGGTTAAAAAGGACCAAAAAGTGATGAAATTGAATTTTAGCGAGCTAATAGTTGTTTTTAGGTTGTTTTCTCACAACAATAGGAAGGAGATTAAATATGCCTTAGGACTATCATTTTATGGGCATTGTTTCAATTAATTCTTTCCTGGTAGACCTGACATAACTATATTTTAATTTTGAAATCTTGTTCTAGGCTTTTGATTATGAAGATAAATGGAGATTCTACGTTGATTTTGCATTTGTTTATTGAAAAAATGGTATCGTGAAAAGCAGTCATCTGAATTTTATTGAACGTTATGCTGGATGGATCTCCATCAAGAACTTGCTTCTAACCTAATGGGATCAGAAGCACATTTGAAACTAGCGGCCATTACTTTGGTGGTCTTGAGAGTATTTCTTCCCCTAATCTTAATATGTTAGATTGCATGGGGATCTTATAGAAGTTAAGAGGAATTTGTGTGGTTTTCTTCCCGCTATGATAGAAATCATAGGATAAGAAAGGGGGGAATATTTTTATTAGATTTAGTGATGTTACTCCGTTAGATCTCCAAATATCATTAATAGAGAGTTCTCTCCTTGAAAGACCTCTCCAATTCTCTGGACTTACATCTTTTACATCAAGTCATGGAAGGTGAAGGAACTTTTAACGTGAATGATGATGTAATTAATCATCCACCAACTTTAGTTCCCGAGAATAGAGAGATTATAGTCACTGAAACAGGGATGAGTGTTTTTAATGGGTCTACTCTGCATGAGCATCAACCATTCGTTTTAATTCAACAAGTTCTTGGGAATTTTTATGAGCTCCCTACTATTTTAACGACCTTTATCCCTTTGCATTGCCTTCTGAGATTCTTGTGTCCCTTTTGGAGACCTCCATTAAAGTTCTCGAGTCCTCAATGCCCTTGATTGTGAAAGAGGTTAAAAATTGTTATATTATTGCATACCCCTTGTACTATACTCGGTGAAGTGAACCTATCATTTATTCTCAATCACCCATTGAGATATACTGTTGATCTTGATTTAATTGAAAAAAATTGTCCACGTCTCTTGGTCTCCTTCGTAAGACTAGGGATAGTTGGAACTTATCAATATTAGCTCCATCAAACCCTTTAATCCCTTCAAGTAGCCTTAAAGTTTTCTCCTCTTAATGGGTATATTTTTTTCTTCATGAGATGATTCACTTGAAAAAGTCCTTATAGTTCATCTTTCTCCCTCTAGGCGTGGTGAATTCGATGTTGAATCTAAAGTTACCTAAGTAGTGTGAAATCTCTTGGGCAGCCAATGGTTAATCACTTTGATGATATGGAGATTGAAGACTCCCTTTTCAATGCTTTTGAGTTTCTATTTTTTGGAAATGATGTGGAGATTTTCCCTTGCCCTTCTTCGGTGCCTAGAAAATTTGCATGTCTTATTGAAGTTTGTGGTCTTGAATTACAGGAACTTCCTTCTTCAACTTCATAAGGACTAGTTTTTGTATCAAGGTTCCGGGGAATGTTCTTTTTTCATATTTACATTCTCTTTTGGAAGTTCGAAGTTTTGGAGATTATGGTCTGGAGTTTCTTAGTTGGTGTGTTAGATCTTTTTGGAGGAGGATTTTTAGTCAGTGTTTTCATGTTTTTGGATCTTATTGATTCTTATCTTTAGCTGTTGTGGTTGCTGTTTGAATTTGCTTTGGAGCTGAGCTTTTGTTTGATGGGTCGTTTTTATTTCTTGGTCGTTCTCTTTTGTTTGTAATTGCTTTAAGATCTTGGCTGTTTTCTAGTTCTATTTTCTTTTCTTTTTCACTCCCTTTGGGAGTTTGTATCCTTTGAACATTTTCCTTTTTATTATATCAATGAGAACTTGTTTCTTGTTAGAAAAAAAAGTGGAAAGAATTTTCTTTTGTTCAAGATGGATGCTGGGTTGATAATGACCGTTGACGTCATTCATCTAAATCTACTGATCACCTTCGCTTGTGGGATGTCTCATCTTCCTTTTTCTGTATATCCTCGACTCTTGATGAAAGTTTGAGTGATGTTCAACTTAAATTTGTTTATATCAGATTACAATTTCTTTGTTTTGAGTAGAAAAATTATATCCAATTGTTGCTTGGCATGAAACAAGTGAATATTATCCTATCTTTTCCTCAAGGATTGATACTTCTCTTATTTCAAAGAAATTTCTCTTGAACGTTTTGCTCGTTGGATTGAAAGTTCAAAGTCGTGGTGTCTTTCTTTTATTCCCACTTTCCAGTTAATTCATTGAATTTTTTATTGATATCTCTTCTTCTTGCTTCTTTGACTGGAAATACGATACTGGAACTGATCTAAGTTTTTCCTAGGTATTATAGATTGTTTATATTCTTATAACTTGTGGTCTTTTCCAGGTTGAAAAAGCCTTCAGAGAAGGAACAGCACGCCAAAATGCACATAGCATCTTTGTGTGTCTTGCACTAAAATTACTGGAAGAACGAGTTCACATAGCATGCAAAGAAATCATTACTCTGGAAAAGCAGGTTCATTGCGAGCTATATCATTGCTCATAGAATTTATTTACAAAATTTAAGCTCTCTTGACTGCTAACCTTTGTGAATTTTGCTGCAGATGAAACTTCTTGAAGAAGAAGAGAAGGAAAAGCGTGAAGAAAAAGAACGCAAAGAGCGGAAAAGGACAAAAGAAAGAGAGAAGAAACTCCGGAGAAAAGAAAGATTAAAAGGAAAGGAAAAGGATAAAGATAAGATAAGTTCTGAATCAGCTGAAGCGTGTGCTCATTCTGATGTCTTGGAGGACTTGTCCCCATGTGATTTGGAGCCAAATTCTGATGCAGTCGGTGAAGTATGTGATGCCAGCGTGCCCGAGTCTTCCGATACTTTCAATGAGCTGTTTTTAAATGAATCCATCATTTCAGAAGGGCAAAATTCATATGATGATAGCTTTGATGGGAAACTTGGCGATGGAAATGAGTCTTTCATAGGTGATCAATCTAAAGTTTCTCGCTGGAGATTAAAATTTCCAAAGGAAGTTCAAGATCATTCTTTCAAGTGGTCTGAGAGGCGCCGATCTATGGTTTCAGAAAATGGGGCGCTGGTTAACAGATCTGAGCAAAGATATTATGCGGATAGTTCGGAAAATCCTTCCAGGAGTATGAATGCATCAAACAGGAAATTAAGAACAAATTCATTAAAGGCCTATGGTCGACATGTCTCTAAGTTTAATGAAAAGATGCACTCTTCCAACAACTGGGTATCGTACGATTACCGTTCCTGTGTCTGTAACCAAAATAATGAATTTAACAAAAAGGCAGAGCCGTTTGTTTCTTCGGTTAGATTTAACCGAGATGTCAAATCTGCGAGCAAGTCAGAATCTTTATTTGATATGTCCAAGCAAAGTTATCGTTCTAACAAGTTCAGCTATGGAGATTATTCTCGTGATAGCGGAAGACTGAAAAACAAAGCTGCTTTGTTAAACAATTCTCCTGGTAAAGATTTTGTTTATTCAAAGAAAGTTTGGGAGCCCATGGAATCACAGAAGAAATATCCTAGAAGTAACTCTGACTCAAATGTTGCATTGAAGTCTTCAACTTTCAAGTTTGGTGTGGAACCTGATTATGACCTTGTGAAGTCCAGGCATGAATGCTGCAGTGGTGAAGTTAGCGTAGCTTCTGGCACCGTTGATCAAGAGGAGAGTAATTCAACTGAATCTACTTCTGTTATTGAATCAGATGATGTCTTCCAAAATGGACTTCCTATTGAATTGAAGGATCATAAAAACGTTGAAGAAGACGCATGTGAGGAGGTAACACCGTGTTCTGTAAATTCGACAGTAGACATGAAAATGACATCCTGTGGAACCAGTAACCAAGCAGGAACTAGCTCTCTAAATTCTGACAACTGCTCATCATGCCCGAGCGAAGGAGACAGTAATACTATCTGCTCGAACCATGGAAATTTAGAATCGTCGTCCACATCAGACTCAGAATATGCTAGCCATCAATCAGAAGGAAAGGAATCTTCAGCATCCATTCAGTATGGCTTTTCTGAGCATCATGAGATAAGGATGGATAAAGCAATTGGCGGTGATGCGATGGGAAGCACGAACTGTTCCGGTCTTTCGCAAGATAACGAGGGATGTAAAGTTCAAGGAAAGGCACCGAAAAATGTTCCTCAGAACTTCGAAGCAGGGTTCTCTGCTGTTAATCTGGATTCCCCATGTCATGTGACACTTCCTTCGGTTCAAAACCAAAATGTTCACTTTCCAGTGTTTCAGGTTCCTCCATCAATGGGCTATTACCACCAAAACTCAGTTTCATGGCCAGCAGCTGTCCATGCGAATGGAATAATGCCTTTCTCCTATTCAAATCACTGTGTATATGCCAATCCTCTTGGGTATGGTTTAAATGGTAACCCACGCTTCTGCATGCGATATGGCCATTTGCATCATCTTGCTAATCCCGTCTTCAACCCGAGTCCCGTTCCTATTTATCAGCCAGCTGCCAAAGCTAGCAATGGTATCTTTGTTGAAGACAGAACTCAGGTCTCTAAATCAGGTGCAATAACAGAAAGTTCTGCAGCTAATCCAGACGTCGTCGTTACCAGTGGACTCCCGTACGCACTCAGTTCACCACCAAGCGGAGATTGTAAGCAAAACGATACTTCTTCCAAACTGCAAAAGGATAGCTCAAGCTTTTCATTATTTCATTTTGGAGGGCCTGTTGCACTTTCAACGGGAGGAGGTAAATTAAATCTCATGCCCTCCAAGGAAGACAATAATGAGGTGGAAGTTGTTGGAAATGGTCATGGTTTCAATAAGAAGGAAACTGCCATTGAAGAATACAACTTGTTTGCAGCAAGCAATGGCATGAGGTTCTCATTCTTCTGAATCTCGGAACAAGAAGAAGATACGAGGTGGCTGTTTTCGATTTACTCGTCCCTATCTTCATATTAATTCTTTTTAATGGAATTTTACAGTACTTGCTACATAATAAGTTTTCTTGAAATCTCAATTTTACTTATAAGTTTTTCAGTAGTTGATGATTGCTCTCAAATTTAGTCTACTCATTATTTCTCCTGCTGTAGAAGTGAACACAAAAACAAAAGAAAAACAAAAAACAAAAAACAAAAGAAGGATGAAAGAGTGCGTGCGTGGTATCGTGTTTGCTGCAGGTTCCCAAAACGAGTCGAGTTTTTCTATCGACACAAAATTTGTTGATATGAAAGTTTTGCTGCCTATCATTTGCTTGAAACTGTCATTCGTTTTTGTACTTTTGACTTGAACTTGGCGTGCATACAAGTCTTTGGGTTGTGACCTTTCAACCATTTTGACCCTTATTTTGGGGAGACATTCATAGGAAAGGGTTTCTTAAAAAGCTTGTGTTCTTCATATGTGGTTTGTTTAGATGTTCTGGCATGAGCTGGAAGAAGATATAGCAGAAAGAGAGACGAATTATGTTAAGTGTTCAATCTATACTTTGTTTTGTGGAGATTTTCTTAGCCTATTTTTTCTTTTTAAGTCCGGATGATTTGGACACCTTGGTTTGCTTTTTAGACATCCAAAAAATTATTGTAAAACCTAGAAATAGACCGTATTTGATATATCTTAGAATGCATGCATAAACTATTTACTTTAAGGTTGGTAATTTGTCTCAGTTCGCTAAGTTTGAAAAGTCCAAAGAAAGAAGAACATAGTAATAAGGAGCAAAGCCACAAGACGAGTTCAAAGAAAGGGTGGGACATTGAGAAAGAATCGATTCCAAACCACAATGCTAGCAGATGGCGGGGCCTCAGATCTACTCTTTTTTTGAGGAACTGAGCAATGGCGCGCTATGCGCCTAAGTGCGAAAAGACAGTGCAAGCTTTGTTATGCCGAAACTTTCGCCTTTGCCTAAAAGCTTGGCACTAGGATGATGAAACCTTATCCGATGACTTTCGGACTATCTTTTCCATTTCTATGGAGATTTATAGGGCGAGTGTCTAAAGCCCGGGTTATCTCTCATCGAAGAGAAGAATTTATTTATTTTAGAGTTAGGTAATTTGTCTCATTTAATTTAATTGAAACAAAGTGAATATCGTGACTGATCACTATATATCATGATCGATCACTTACGTGATAGTGATTAGTAAAATTAACGTGTAGGAGTAGATTGCAAGTATGCCTCTAAAATTTAGAGTAGGTTTTAATTGTGTATTTACGGTTAAAAGTGTCTATTAACCTTTAACCAAAATAATGTTAGATAAAAATATGATAGTAATGATATGAGGTGGGCTATAGAAAAAAAAAATTAAAGGATGGAGAAAAAGTGGAATCCTTGTGGGTTCGAAAGATTATGTACGGGAAAAATGAGAACAAAAACGGGAGAAATTGGATTTTTTTTTTTTTTTTTTTTTTGTTACAACATATACATCTAAAGAAAATTTTTGTGCCCCAAAGTACCTTATACTTGGAATTACTCGTGGTACGTCTCCCATCATTCCAACTCATACATCTTATTTCTCTATCTCGATATCATACTTCCCCTAGCCCGCACTAATTTAGAGAATATGAAGAACAAATAAATAAAAAAAAGAGAAGAGGTTCGAAGTTATACGAATTGTATGATAGACTAACAACTATTGTATAGCTTATCTACATGTTATTTATTGTATTATGATATGATTTAAAACGAATGGAAGTTTTGCATTAACATACATGCAATAACGATTTTATGTGATTCCAAAAGGTTTATTAAATTAATAAAGTTACTTATTTACAAAAATTACTGATTAATTAATTAGTTAACTTACATTAGTAAAAAAAATTGGTCTTCAATAATTATAACTAATTATTTATTGGGAATATTATTGTCTAGCTCATTCATAAATAATATATCATAATTTTAAATTTTAAATTAGATTTATAATTAATAATGAAAAACTATAATTAATGAAAAATAATTAAATATTCAATAATTATTTTATACCTGTTATATAAGTGTTTTTTTTTTGTTTTATTAATAATTTATTATAATTACATAACATTTATAAGATTATCCCATTTACAACAATTTATTTCACCGTACATAATATTTGATTTTTGAATTATATTAATTCTTTATTTTAATTATTTACTAATTATTTATAATTAAATGTTTATATAAATATATTATTATCTTATAAATGAAAATGAAATTAAAATTAATAATTTGAAAGAGTAATCCCACGTGTCCAAGAATCCCACATGGCATCAGGCCCTAGAGATTCGGATACTATCCGTCCAGCTCATTGACACGTGTCAAAAACCCATTGCAGCGGAGAAAATCGCAAGCAACCGGAATCTAAGCTATTGATCCAAAATTATGAGAAGCAGAAAGAAGCGATTAAATGAGAATCGAGAGAGACAGAGAAGGCTGAAGCAAGTGATTAATTCATCGTCGCTATCTCATACAATGGCAGCCATTGGGCCTTGCTGTTCAACGCTTCCTGCAAGAAGGTATACTGTTCTTCCTCCTCTTCTTAACCCTTTAATCCAACATTGTTCCAACTTAGATTTGCCCTTTTTTTCGTTATAATCTCTCCATTCCATTTGGCCTCTTGAATTCCAGATTTGATACAGTATTTGACATCATTTTCATTTGTTCTTAACATTCTGATTTCTAGGGTTTCTCTGTTTGTATGAATTTGTTTGTTTTATGGGAAGAAATGGAAGTCCACTGCCAATTTGTTCAAGCATTTACTGTTTTAGTTACATAATAAGATTAGGATGAGGGCTATGTCTAGTTCGTCTGAGTGCTTTTGGCGGCACTTTGACTATCAAAAAGTTTTGAATGATGAGTTTAAGTACTACTAACTTTTGAACTTTGTGTCTTGGTGCCAAATTGGAGAGGGAAACGAAATATTCCTTATAAGGGAGTGGAAACCTCTCCCTAGTAGACGTGTGATTTGAAGCCGTAAGGTTAACAGCGATACGTAACGGGCCAAAGCAAACAATATCTGTTAGTGGTGGGTTTGAGCTATTACAAATGGTATCAGAGTTAGACACCGAGCGATGTGCCGGTGAGGACGCTGGGCCCCCAAGTGGGAGTGGATTGTGATACCCCATTTCAGTTGGAGAGGGAAATGAAACATTTCTTATATGGATGTGGAAACCTCTCTCTAGTAGATTCGTTTTAAAACTGTGAGGCTAAGGGCGATACGTAACAGGACAAAGCGGACAATATCTACTAGCGGTGGACTTAGGCTATTACAAGTGTTGTTGTGATGATATATTCTAACCCTTGGCTGTTTTGAATGCTAAGATGATTCTTTTATATCAAATGAAAACAATTTACACTCTTTTTTGTTCATATGAAATAAAGGGATTAAGTATGTGTTTCCTCCAGCAACCTAAGGACGTCCTGGCTTTCCATAAGGACTGTACCTCATAGAAGAACCTATCCAGGGAAACAAGTTCTTCAGAGAAAATTTGGAATTAGAGCTGAAATAAATTTTGTCAATGTTGAAGAAGCCAAGAAACTAACTGCAGATGATGGATATGTAATCGTTGATGTTCGGGACAAATCGCAGTTCGATCGAGCTCACATTAAATCGTGTTACCATGTCCCGCTTTTCATTCAAAATGAAGACAATGATCTTGGTAAAACCTTCTGCTTCCCTACATATTTTGATATTAGATGTGTTTACTTTGATTGGTTAATCATTTTTCTAAAGTGATTTTGAGTGGAAACTTTGAATGTATGAGATTTGAATTCTGTGCTGTGCAGGAACTATTATCAAAAGAACAGTGCACAACAATTTTTCTGGTCTCTTCTTTGGATTGCCATTTACAAAACCCAACCCTGAGTTTGTGCAGTCTGTTAAAGCCCAGTTTTCACCTCAAACCAAGCTATTGCTAGTTTGTCAGGAAGGATTAAGGTAAGTTTTTTTTGTTAGTATGATGTTGAGTTATGGTATGGTTAATGTGGAATGAGAGTGATTTTGTTAAGATTCATATGTAGATCGTTCAAATCAACACTAAATTACTTTTTAGAACAATCGATCCATTAACGAGTTCTCAAACACCAAGGTATGGTTTAGCATAGCAAGTACTTGGATTGTTTATAGGTAGCTTGTGAGATCCCACGTCGGTTGAGGAGGAAAACGAAACATTCTTTATAAAAGTGTGGAAACCTCTCGCTAGGAGACGTGTTTTAAAACCTTGAGGGGAATCTCGGAAGGGAAAGCCCAAAGAGGACACTATCTACTAGCGGTGGGCTTGGGCCATTACAAATGGTATCAGAGCCAGACACCGGACGATGTGTTAGCGAGGAGGCTGAGTTCAAAAGGGAGTGGACACGAGGCGATGTGCTAGCAAGGACGCTGGCCCCAAAGGGGGGTGGATTGGGGGGTCCCACATCGGTTGGAGAAGGGAACGAGTGCCAGCAAGGATGCTGGGCACTGAAGAAGGTGGATTGTAAGATCCTACTTTGGTTAGGGAGGAGAACTAAACATTTTTATAAGGGTGTGGAAATCTCTCCCTAGCAGACGTGTTTTAAAACCTTGAGAGAAAGCCTGGAAGGGAAAGTCCAAAGAGGACAATATCTGCTAGCGGTGGGCTTGAGCCATTACAAATGGTATCAGAGCTAGACACCGGACGATGTGTCAACGAGGAGGCTGAGCCCGGAAGGGGGTGGACACGAGGTGGTGTGCTAGCAAGGAAGCTGGCCCCAAAGGGGGGTGGATTAGGGGGTCCCACATCAATTGGAGATGGGAATGAGTGCCAGCGAGGACGCTGGGCCCTGAAGAGAGTGGATTGTAAGATCCCACATCGGTTAGGGAGGAGAACGAAACCTTTTTTATAAGGGTGTGAAAACTTCTCCGTAGCAGACGTATTTTAAAACCTTGAGGGGAAGCCCGGAAGGGAAAGTCCAAAGAAGACAATATCTGCTAGCGGTGGGCTTAGGCCGTTACATATCTTTTGGTGTCTTGAGTTCAAATTTTTTTGTTGTAAACATAATAAAATTAAAGTTTTCTTGTGGCTTTGGAGCGGCCGAAGAAGCGTTTGAATTGTCAAGAAGAAAGGAAAGAAAGAAAAGGGTTAAAATATTATTTTGACCGGGCTCATTTCATTTTAATCTCTATACTTTTAAACGTCATGAATAGATATGATTAGCATAGCGACGTGTTTGAGAATGACAATAGTTATAATGTGTTTGTTTTGATTGGTAAATAGGTCCGCTGCTGCTGCTGACAAGTTAGAGAAAGCTGGTTTTGAAAACATAGCTTGTATAACATCAGGACTCCAATCAGTAAAACCAGGTTAAATTTTTCATCTAATTTATCGTAATCGATTAATTTTCATGTTCGTTAGTCGTATTATGGAACACCGAAAAAAACCGCTGACTTATTAAATGATCTATTGAGTCATGGAAATGACTCGACAAAGAATTGTTTTATGTTAAACAATACGTGGAGTAAATCTCAATAAAAGTAAGACGTGTAGGCAAATCAACTTATCATGTTTTCATAGAATTCACGTTTTTGGTTCTTTTGTACGCTACGATAGGCACATTTGAGTCGGTTGGTTCGGGTGAGTTACAAGATGCTGGCAAAGCTGGTTTGGTGCAGATCCAAGGCAAGATTTCAGCTGTGCTAGGAACTGTTCTTATCTGTAAGCTTTCTCAACTCTATACCATCCTCTTTTTTCAAGTCTCTATGCTTGGGTGTTTTTTCGATTTAGCTAAGGTGAGAACCCGACTAACTTAAATTACTCAATCCAGACCATAAATGTTAGGTTGGGTTAGATTTTCTTCCGATTTGGGTTGGGTTGAATTTTAAAAAAACCGAAACTTTGGATCAGTCTGCAGGTTGATGGATCTCGAAAATAGGATTACAACCCAATCTAACCCTACCCTACCTTTAAGATTATTACGAAAATTAAGAATATTTGACGTTTGTAACCGAGGTTAGTAATGCGTCGTGACTTGTTAATGTAAGATGTATTATAAAACTGACAATCCAACCCACCTAGATGGGCAGGTTGAGTTGTGCACGGTATTTGGGTTGCTCAAGTCACCAAGCTAACCAACCTGAAATTTCGAGCTAGTCCAAAAAATTTCCCTAATGCACCCCGTGTACACCTCTAGATTTAGTCGACACAAAATTAAAACTTTAATGATCGATTAAGCACATTTTTATTAGACACAAAATTGAAAGCTTAGAAACCGTTGCCTACTAACCGTTATTTGAATGAATTTGGTAGGTGCATATTTGTTCATAACCCTGTTTCCAGATCAGGCTGAGAAGCTGCTTCAAATGGTACCATCAAGTTAAACCATTGTCCAACATAAACCCTTTAATTTTAATTTTTGTTTATTTATTATAATTAATTTCTCTTTTTAACAGCATATTTTTCCATAAGATCCTCTCTTCTCTTCCTTATCTCGACTACTTTATAAACGTGTCTCGATTATTTTATTAACGTAATGTCGGTTAGCTCTATTGGTTAGATATCGATGTCTCTGTTTACGAATCATAGATTTAAATTCGAGGACCGTAGATCTATTAATTTAAAGGCTAAATTAATAAAAATACTATTAAGACAGGTTGAAATTTTAATAGTATTTAAAAAATATCTTTAAATTTTAAAAAATTTAATTAATATTCATTTTAAAAAAAATACCCCTAATTCTAAATTTTGGTTTTTTTATATATTTTTTTTTATGAATATTATTCGATAAATAGATATTTTGCTTTTAATATTAAGAATTTGAATAAACCACTAAAAATAATTTGTACCTATCAAATCTAAGAAATTTATAAATTTACAGTCGGTTGAATTTGGTTATGAAACAAAAGTTGTTTGGATTAATACAATTTTTCTCTTCGACTTATTACCGCTCCAACCACTCGCTGTAATAGTTTGTTTCTCGAGTGGCTGCTATTATAGTGAGTGGCTCGCACCTCGGGTGGTGCGACTGAGCCAGAGTGGCTCAGCAGTCGGCCTATGTTTCCAGACACGCGTAAAGGCATGATTAGTTTCACTAATCTAAAAAATTTATGACCCGAACAATTAAATTAGGTTTAAAAGTGTGGCTCGCACTTCAGGTGGTGCGCCTAAGCTAGAGTAGCTCAGCAATCAACCTATGTTTCCAGACATGCGTAAAGGCTTGATTAATTTCACTAATCTAAAAAATTTACAATCCAAACAATTAGATTAAGTCTAAAAGTGTGTGGCTCACCCCTCGAGTGATGCGACTGAGCCAGAGTGGCTCAGCAGTCGAATTTACAACCCAAACAATTAGATTAGGTCTAAAAGTGTGTGGCTCACACCTCGGGTGGTGCGACTAAGCCAGAGTGGCTCAGCAGTCGGCCCATGTTTCCAGACACGTATAAAGACATGATTAGTTTCACTAATCTAAAAAATTTAGGACCCGAACCATTAAATTAGGTCTAAAAGTGTGTGGCTCGCACCTCAAGTGGTGTGGTTGGCTCAGCAGTCGGCGTATGTTTCCAGACACGTGTAAAGGCATGATTAGTTTCACTAATCTAAAAAATTTACAACCCGAACATTTAAATTAGGTCTCAGAGGTGAAAAACTCCTTAATTTCAACCCAATTTATAAAACCTTACTCGGTTTCCGTTCATCTTTTCTCATATTTTCCTTGTCTGTTCGAAAGCTGTCGCTTCCCTTTCTCGTTTTGAGCAACAGAGTTTATCTCCAAAAGAAACAAAAGAAAAAATAAGTAAAAAGCCAAAGAGAAATTAAAGAGAGAGAAAAAAATTATAATGGCGGTCCCGCAGCGGTGGTGAAAGCAATTGCACAATTCCAACGATTCATCGATAATCAATCATTAATCGTTTTAACTTTTTGTTCGAATTCCAAAGCCGATGAGGTATGGGCTAATCCCAGTTCTGGTCCCCGTCGGATTGAGGTTAGTTTTCTTTTCTTTTAATCCCTTTCTTCAATTCCATTTCTTGATTTGTTTTTAACGTTCGTATTGATTTTGCCACTTTTGTGCCACCCCCAGAATTTATCATTTGAATTGATCGTCTGTTTCTGCAATTTGACTCGGAATTCTCCACTAGGGATATGGATTTTTTTTTGTTTTTTTTGTAAGATTTTCTTCTGTTATTGTTCTTGGTTTTTGTGGGGTTCTGTTTTTCTTTCTGGAGACTTGTAAATGAGGTCTTGTTTTGTTCCCTTCCTTAGGTTTCTTGCAAATGTTGTTTCGTTGTTGAATATTGATTTTCTAATTCAGAAATGGTTTATCAATTTGTAATTTGTAAAAGAGGAAGAACAGGGTTTTGCATTCGTGCTGCTTGGTCTCGTTTCGTTCGATTTCAGTCCATTTTTTAGGGCTTTCGGTGGATGAATTTTGACTTAATCACATGGTTTTTGAAATTTGACTGAAATAGGGTTGTTCTGATGGATTCAAATGAGCCTATGATTTCATTAAGTGATTTATCTCCACAATTTTGAAGCATTTGATATGAACTGAAACTTTTTTGTAAGACTATGTTAGCGTTAATGCTTTGTTACTTTTCCTTTTATATTTCTCTTCCAAAACAAAATAATCGAGTTAAGTTAGCGTAGGATGTTTCATTTTGTGTTCATGATTAGACATCTTTTGCTAGAGTTTGATTATAATGGGCTCTGTATGCAACCTGTAGCTGGATTGAATCCTTCGCGATGCAAATGCCCTCTTCCTTCTCCCAACCCAACTAAGGTGAAACACCTACTCCTAACAAAAGCGAAGCAAGCTGCGCTACTACACCGCGCATACGTTTTTTAGCTGGCTTCAAAGAAAGAAAAGCTGGCGCTCCTGCCCCTAACCTAGGTTGAGACCTTTCAAGATTCTTAGTCCAGCACACCCTGCAATCTTTCTAAAGCGCTAACGCCGCTCTAATACGCCCTTATTAGATAGAGTCGATTTCCTCTTTTGTTAATGGACACTCTCTCAATTCTAAAAATTAAAAGAGGGGCAAATGAGTGGAAAAGGTTGAAATCTTTTCTTAATAAAATTTTGAATTTAAGATTGCCCTTCCTTTGTCTTGGCTCTACCTATGGTTCTTGGCTTATTCAGAAAATTAATGATTCTGGTGATGGTGGCAGTTTGGGGTTAGAGGGACAGAAGAGAAAAATCTTGCTTACATTTATTTGGGTATGGGGAAAGCATAAAGAATAACTTAGGTCCCCAGAGATGATTCCAAGTTGATATTAGACAAACCGTAATATTGAGCGAGCTCCGTGTTATTTGGGATTTCACTATTGCTTTGGGTTTGGAAGGAATCTAGATTGCTTTATATTTATTTCATCAAGGTTTTTCAAGTAAAGAGTTCATCAAACTAAATAAATTTTGAAGTTGATCTTTCAGTATTTTTAAGCTTCTTTGCAAATGAATGCCTGGACGTGCACGTGCCTTGGCACAATCCAACTTTAAGCTAGGATGTTAAACTCATAGTTTTGACAAGCTAGCCTTGTTGGGTTTAGGTTCGGTAGTACGAGTTCACATGCTTGGACTATTCAATGGAATGGTTTGTAAAATCTCGAGGTTTGTGTAATATGTGTTTGTTTAAGATTAATAATATACAAACTTCACATGTAGTAGAAAAGGTGGGTTTTAAACCTTGAATTTTGTGTAGTTTGTAGGATTAGCGAACTTATAGCTTGGAATACGAAACTCCAAGTACCATACGCTCGAATTCTGTTAACTCAATGTTATATAAATCTAACTATGAGCTAGCGACCAATATCGGTTACTAAAGAATCTAGCAAATGGCCAGTAAGCATATATGTGTTGTTTCCAGTTCAGATTATAAGAAAATGAGGGTGTTGCTAAGTCCTGTATGTTATTAAGCATTGTTGATCATGTTTAGTTTTCGTTATCACCCGACTTTCGTTCAAATTATACCAACAAATCTCCGAACAACACGAAACATTTCGTCTAATATGTTCACTGACATGCCCTTTTCCTTTTTTTGTCTGGTTTAATAGGATTGAACTCATGGATGAGTGATGGCTGCCATATGGTGAAGCATTTCCAATAATAGCTTAAAGAACTCCATTAAAGTTTAAATGGCCATGGCTCCAGGAAGCAGTACCTGCAAAGAAGTAGTTGATTCTCATCCTTCAGTTTCAGGGCATGACATAGCAATGTCTAAATCAGAGAATAATTCTACATCTTCAAAAGTCCTACTTGGTTCGAGTGGGAAGCTTGGAGTTTATTCAACCAATGGCGTGCAAGAACTGCTCGAGTGCCCTGTCTGCACTAATCTGATGTACCCTCCAATTTACCAGGTATGTACTTCATATCCAGTTTTTTCTCTTGTACTTCTCATTATAATTTAAGCTATGCTCGGGAGTGTTCGGAGTGCTTTCAGCGTCGAAAAAAGTACTTTTTCTGTATGGCTTAATTGCTTAATTCTTGATTCGAAGGTTGATTTGGACTCTGTACTGTGGCGAATTCTCCATATTACTGGTTCTTTAGTTCTTTTCTTAATATTAAGGTTGTATTGAAGACTTAGAACATCTCATTATTCTTGAATCTTTACGTCATGGAGGTGTGATATATTTTTCTGCTTCTGCTTTGAATCGAACTTTCTTGACTGGCTTTTGAACCTTAGTGCCCGAATGGCCACACGTTGTGCTCAAACTGCAAGATCAGAGTTAGCAACTGCTGCCCGACCTGTCGTCATGAACTCGGAAACATAAGGTGCTTGGCATTGGAGAAGGTAGCTGAGTCGCTGGAAATCCCCTGCAGATACCAGAATTTGGGTTGCCAAGATATTTTTCCTTACTACAGTAAGCTTAAGCATGAGCAACACTGTCGATTCCGTCCTTACAACTGCCCTTATGCTGGATCGGAGTGTTCGGTCACGGGTGACATCCCGTCTCTTGTTGCACATCTCAAAGATGATCACAAGGTTGACATGCACGATGGGTGTACCTTCAATCATCGCTATGTGAAATCAAATCCGCACGAAGTTGAAAACGCCACATGGATGCTAACGGTTGGTGCTTGCTCTATATAGTATTAGTATACTTTCTCACCATGCTTCACTTCACATAACTTAACTATGTAAGCCATATATACAGTTTTCTTGAAAATCAAATGTATAGTTAAATGGTCGTCCCGTGAATATATATAAATATATATTTCGATAAACCATGTAATCTGTACGATGATAATTGCTAGCTAAAGGTCTGAAAAACCGGGTTGTCTTCCATCTTTGAGCATTGGAATATCTTATAGTAGTTTGCAATGGCAGGTTTTCAACTGCTTTGGAAGACAGTTCTGCTTGCATTTCGAGGCGTTCCAGCTAGGAACAGCGCCTGTTTACATGGCGTTCTTACGATTCATGGGCGAAGATAACGAAGCAAAGAAGTTCAGCTACAGTTTGGAGGTGGGTCACAACGGGCGTAAACTGATATGGCAAGGAATTCCGAGAGGCATCCGTGACAGTCACCGAAAAGTTCGTGACAGTCAAGACGGTCTCATCATTCAAAGAAACCTGGCACTGTATTTTTCGGGAGGAGAAAGACAAGAGCTGAAGCTGAGAATCACGGGTCGAATATGGAAAGAAGAATGAGAGCAGGAGCAAGGGCCTAAGGTAAGCTCTTGTGGTGTTCAGGTGAATGTATGATTGTACAGGTAAAACAAGTTCTCCAAGTGCTGAAAAAGCTCTTAGGAGAAACTTCCAAGCTAATATAAAAAATGTAACCTACAAAATGAATCAAAGAAGCTTTTATGTATTTATAGTTGGAGATGCGTTTCAATCTAGTGTCTCTGGTTTTTTATGTTATTATTTTGTTCGTGTAGTTTGAGCTTAGCTTCAATTCCATCGACCGTGTTTAAATTATGAGGATTAATTATCATGATAGCTAAACTGGGTTTAAAGTTTAGACCGTTTAAAACATAGTTAGCTTCCACTTGCATACTAGTCTTAACATGTTTATGAGTTTCATAACATGTCTAGGTTGATTTTGTTCCAGCTATGTACTCTAGAGTGTGTGTTATGATGGTTTTATCTTATGAACCACTGTTTTACGTAATATGATATTATAACATAGTTGTAGGTCCCATTTGCTTTCTTCGGTTCTTTTCCAATAAATTTCATTCCAATGTATGTAATCTAGAGCATCGTACTCGACTAGGTAAATGATTATGAGGTGCAACCTTTATTCGTGAACTAACCAAAAAAGGTTAGGATCTATTTGGTAAGTCACCCACAGTGAGTTACATGAATAAAAGAGGGTTCGTTGTTGCACCTAGGAGCCAAGTAATTTACTATCTTTGCTCGAGAGGACGATAGGAGCCAAGTAATTTACTATCTTTATCTTTGCTCGGAGGACGATGCGACATATAGTTTATTTTTAAAATAAATTGTTAATAATTTATTAATTTTTTAAAAAATTTAGAAATAATCTTTTTATTAATTAAAAAAAAAGAAAGAAAAAAAAGTGAAAGTAATGCATTTTAGATTTAAAATAATTTCCGTGTGAAGAAAAACGGGAGAGCTGAAATCCGCGCCCACGAACAAAATCAAAAAAAGACCCATACACTCATTTGATTTGATCTTCGATTATTACACATGCCTCTCCCCTCTCTCCTTCTTCTCTAAATCTCTCCTTTTCTCCCACACCCTCTCCATTTCTCCCTCTAGAATGGAAGAAGACGACCCCAGTAAGGTTCTTGATCTCATCAAGGATCTTGTTCTTCGTCTTCTTTCCCACAATCCCACCTCCAATTCCAGCCCTACCTCTTCCGATTTCCAAAAGTCCCTTCGCTATGCGATTCGCATTCTTACTAGTCGAATGACTCCCTCCATTGCTCCTGATGCTGCCGCCATTGCTGAGTCCATCAAGCGTCGGCTCGCCACTGAGGGTAAGTCTTCTCAGGCACTCACTTTTGCTGATCTTTACACTAAATTTGCGTCTAAAACTGGCCCTGGGAGTGTGAATAATAAGTGGGCTGTGCTTTATTTGCTCAAAATTGTGGCGGAGGATCGGAAATGTAGACAGACCCAGTTTGAATCTTCAGTGCTTTTGCCTAATTTAGTGGCGAGTGATCCTGTGTTGGGAAAGAAATCTAGTGGGGCGGAGAAGGAGTGGCAGAAGGGGGTTTTGCTGGTTGCGAAAGACCCTGAGAATCTTCGCGATGTTGCTTTTAAGGAGTTTGCTAATTTGTTAAAGGAGGAAAATGAAGTGTCTGAAGAGGTTTTGGTGAGGGATGTGTTGTATGCTTGTCAAGGAATTGATGGAAAGTATGTGAAATTTGACAACAATGCTGATGGGTATGTTTTATCCAATATCGTTAAGGCTCCCAGGGCAACGAGGACAATGGTTCGCAAGCTCTGTGAAATTGGGTGGCTGTTTAGGAAGGTTAAAGGTTATATCTCAGAGAATATGGAACGTTTTCCAGCCGAAGATGTTGGAACTGTTGGACATGCTTTTTGTGCTGCATTACAGGATGAGCTTTCAGAATACTATAAACTGTTGGCAGTTGTCGAAGCTCAGTCGATGAATCCGATACCTTTGGTTTCGGAGGCAGCAAGTTCAGGAAACTATCTGTCTCTAAGGAGATTGGCAGTCTGGTTCGCAGAGCCAATGGTGAAAATGAGGTTGATGGCTGTATTGGTGGACAAGTGTCGGGTCCTGAAGGGTGGGGCAATGGCTGGGGCCATTCATTTACATGCTCAGCATGGTGACCCCTTGGTGCTCGAATTCATGAGGCGTTTGTTGCGGCGTGTATGCTCTCCACTTTTTGAGATGGTAAGGAGCTGGGTATTAGAAGGGGAGCTGGAAGACATTTTTTCTGAGTTTTTTGTTGTTGGTCAACAAGTGAAAGCTGAATCTCTCTGGAGGGAAGGTTATAGGCTTCATTCTGGCATGCTTCCATCGTTTATTTCGCAGTCTCTAGCCCAACGTATTTTGAGGACTGGGAAATCGATTAATTTCCTTCGTGTTTGTTGTGAGGACATGGGATGGGCTGATGCTGCAACAGAAGCAGCAGTAGCGGCTGGGACTACAACCAAAAGGGGAAGTCTTGGATATGGTGAAACCGACGCCCTTGAATCTTTGGTTGATGGAGCAGCAAAAAGAATAGACAAACACTTGTTGGATGTAATGCACAAGCGGTATAAGTTCAAAGACCACTGTCTAGCAATCAAGCGCTATTTACTATTAGGACAAGGAGATTTTGTTCAATATTTGATGGATATTGTTGGACCTGAGCTTTCTGAACCTGCTAATTCTATTAGCTTGTTTAAGTTATCTGGTCTCCTCGAAACTGCAATTCGCTCCTCTAATGCTCAGTATGACGATCCCGACATCTTGGATAGATTAAAGGTTAAGATGATGCCTCATGGAACTGGAGATAGGGGTTGGGATGTATTCTCTTTGGAATATGAGGCAAGAGTCCCACTAGATACTGTATTTACAGAGTCCGTCATGTCGAAGTATTTAAGGATCTTTAATTTCCTTTGGAAGCTTAGACGTGTTGAGCATGCACTTATAGGTACTTGGAAGACGATGAAACCAAACTGCATCACGTCCTGTTCATTGACTAAGCTGCACCATGGGGTTAAGCTGCAATTACTCTCAACATTGAGGCGATGCCAGGTCCTTTGGGTTGAGATGAATCATTTTGTCTCAAACTTGCAATACTACATAATGTTCGAAGTCTTGGAGGTATCGTGGTCGGATTTTTCAAACGAAATGGAAGCGGCAATGGATTTGGATGATTTACTTGCGGCTCATGAAAAGTATCTTCATTCAATATTTGAGAAATCTCTTCTTGGAGAACAATCTCAGCCACTTTGCAAGTCACTTTTTGTTTTGTTTGATCTAATATTGCGATTTCGAAGTAATGCGGACAGGTTGTACGAGGGAATACATGAATTACAATGCAGGTAATATTATATTTTGATTTATTTATTTTTACGCTTCTCTGTGTGCTATTCCCTTCTTCTTGGATTTAGTATGTCTCTTGTTGTTATGTAGAACAATAGAATCATCTTTACCCTCCAGAGGCAAGAGTACAAATATCCGTTCGACAGAAAAATCTTTAGAAACAGCATCATGGTTAGCTGATGGCAAGAAGGCTCTAACGCAACGTGCTCGTGAATTTCTTCGGAATGTTGAACAAGATCTAGCTGCATTAGCTAAAGAGTATTCTTCATTACTTGAGGGATTCATTTCTCAGCTGCCTTTGCAACAGCATGTTGATTTGAAGTTTCTCCTATTCCGCCTTGACTTCACTGAATTTTACAGCCAGTTACAGCCTCGTGTGTAGAGTGGATGTCAGATGTAATATCATATGGCCTTTCAGGTTAGTCACAATTCGGGGAGCTCCTAACAATTTTTTCATGGCAGCCACAGGGATCAACCATTGAAACTGTCTGGCATGTAATTTTAGGTATGCAGTTGTTCATTTGTTTATAGTTTTCTGCAGAGATTGTTGTTACATTTACGTGCCGATCTGAGCTTGTGTAAAATGCTTTACAAGGGCTTGACCATCTTTATCATTTATGAATAGAAATGTTGTTTGCTCGTTACGTTTAGCCCAGAGTCTACCGTTCACTTTAATGTTGTTTTCGTAGTCTTGATTTGGATTATGTTAGTGTTTTTGTGAAAAATTGGTTGAGGAGCTAACAAGTCCACATTAGTACTATAGCCATGGATTATTTTTATGCGGTTTCTAATATTGACTGATGATATGAACCTCTATGGAGCTTTGGTGGAGCCAACGTGAGAAGATTTTGGCTGAACATGAGTATCAGTCAGAGGATAATACTAAGAATAAAATTTAGCTATGATAATCGTTATATTGTCTTTTGGAGATGGTCTTGAGTTGGACAAGCCTCCCAAAGGTGGATCATGAGCCTAACGTGGAACGAGCCTACGATACCTAGTTATAGAGAATGAAAAAACGTTCTTAGGCAGTGTTCAGAGGTATGGACTTTTTTATACAGTTTAATGCTATGCTCTAGGCTCTTTTACTTTAGCACTTTTAGATGATAGGGAGCTTAAGGGTAGTGGATTTTGTTGTTGTTGATATGCTCAACGTGTATACAAGGTGTCACAATCGCACTTTTTTTATTGACAGCGGACTTTGCGATTGTGCAACACTCACTTTCCAACACCAAGTGAGTCAAGCCAATTTGTATTCGTGTCGCCTACGGCTGGGCAACGTATGCTTAAGCCTCTGGCCCTAATTTGAGAAGAAGGCTTTAGAAAATGGGGACAGAGAGATTTTGAAAGAGAGTTGGAAAGCAAGATTGAGAGAGGTCGAAAGCAATGTTATATGGCATACAAACACAAGACAACACAACAACTTAAATAGCATATAACTTTTCGGGTAGGGAGAACTTGACAACTAGTCGCATCCCCTATAGTACAGTTTGAGGCGATTCAGGTCTAGCAGGCCTAGACGTGATTTCGCCGAATGGTCATACAAAATCATGGAGAGGAGTTGACAATTAGTCACACCCTCCTATAGTACATTTTGGGGCGATTTAGGTTTGACAGGCCTAGATATGATTTCGCCGAGTAGTCGTACAAACAGAAAATACAATAGTAAGACAATACAACATGGAATTAAATAAAGGGTTCGGCATCACATGGGCATGCAGCCACAGACAACATGCCCTGGACGAGCATGACCGTGATATTGGGCATGCTTTTTATTTATGCGTGCACTCTTATCTCTTATGAAAGTCGAAGTTTGTTGTCAAAAATAGTTTATGGTTCATGCAGGCTTTATGTATTGCCTAGGT